AATCCTTGATCCTATAGATTCAGGAAAATCCTAATATCTTACCCTGAGAAAACTCAGCAGAGATATGCAAATGAAAAGTAATTTAGTTATCATTATTTCTACTGAAAAAAAAAAAAAAAAAAAGAGAGAGAGAGAACCAAACCAACCAACCAACCAACCAAAACCTCAAGAAAACCTCAAGAATTTTGAGAAGCAGAATTTCTGAAGTGTGACTTTCCCACATTTCTCTCTTTTCTGGATACTTGGGTGCCCACAGACTGTCCCCAGTGGGAGCACTCATTTTGTTCTGGCTCTATCTTCACAACACTGACAGAAATTCTTAATCAAAAAAGTTCTTTCTTCTGAAGGCTTGAAGGCATTGGCATTAGCATTTACTTGGTGCAGTCACTCAAGCCAGTGCACAGCAACCTCATAACATTATTGAAACTTTTTTTTCTTCTTTCATAGATCTATCAGGGTTTTCTTTCTTGCTTTCTGCAGTCTAGTGGTTACTGATGGAAAAGAATCAGCTTGTTGATCCCTCGTTCCTTTCTGGAAATTCTGTCCTGAGCAAATGTGTTTTGCTCAAATTCAAAAACCACTTGCTTGTAGCTTCTCTGGATCATCTGTGAAATTCAGCATTGTATATTACAGGGAAACAAAGCACTATAGCCACCATAGAAGCTATTAATCAAATCCTATGTTATCAGTTAAATTAAAATTGAGAAAAATCTTTATGCTCAGGAGGAGGAAATTAGCATCCAGTTGGCAAAGCAGCCATATTAAACCAGATATCAATCTCAGCAGAACCAGAATTAATTAGGAATAATCAAAATCTACTTCTGCACTGAAGAGAGTGATTTTTTTTATGATTATATATTTTCTTATCTTTATGTTTGAGCCTTTAAGATTATGATCGCATTTTTAAATGTTACTTTGGTTTGATAGCTGAAAATTATATCTGAGGATAGATGCCATTGTACTAGAACTGTTCTGGATAACACATCTTACACAAAAATAAATATTGAGACTAAGAAATAAAGCGCCTCAAAATTAGGAAATGTCACAAGCTAGAAGCCTACACAACGTTATTTCTGTCCAGTTATATGCACAGAGGCTGAAAAGAGAAAGGTAAAAATAAATTCCATATTATTCAGCTATATTTGCTAAATAGTGACAGAATGTACCAGATTATCTGCTATGTGGTAGATGTGACCTTATTCTCTAAAAATATGCATAGGCACAGAGCTGCACTTTCTTTATGTTTAAATGATTATGAGAAAACTCCTAACAACAAGAAGAGGTGAAAGTATAAATCATAGTAACTCATCTTTTAAACCAGAACTCTCCCCACAAGGTCTCAGGATATAGTTGGTGAAATAAAGTCTGAAAGTCT